AATAATTAAAATAATGTTGAATATAAACATTTGATATAAAAATTGTCTTTGTCAGTTAATAAAATAACTAAAAGTAAAATATTGTTTAGAAATCTATTATATAGTCCTACCTCAACAGCTCCTAATATAAATGTCATCTTCCTTGAAAATTAATTTATTATTAAATTATAATATTTATAATCATGGCTTGTTGTATAAAGTGCAGTCAAATCCAATTATGCAACAACTTGTTTTCTCAACTTATTAACCTTGGCTTTTACTACAAATTATCATTATTATTTGGGTCAGTTGTCAGATACAGAACCTCCCTGATTATTTGAAGGATTTCCAAAGCTTGTGTATAAAGATGGTTAATAATAATAATTGCACATTTATAATGTGCTATATTATACAGTATATCAAGGATGCTTAATATAGCTCGTCTGGTTTACTGTAGAAAGGGTAATAATGAACATAATGTATGACCTTATTTAAGCAGCTTATGACCTACTTAAAATTGTACCATCCTTTCTTCATTCCCTACCCTATAATAATAATAATAACAATAATAATAATAATAATAATAATAATAATAATAATAATAATAATAATAATAATATTAATAATAATAATAATAATAATCTGCGATTTGTATAGTGTCTCCTGTTGTCGTCCCAACAACGAAAGAAAACGGACAAAAAAAATTAAACTATAAACCGAAACTCACAAAACACTTGAAGCCAGCCGAACTAAAAACAACATCGCACCATTTATTGGCAATTTAAGGCACAAAGTCTGCCGATCTATGACTCACAATTGCTCAAATGTTGGCGGTGTCTAGCTAGACAGTCAATGGACCTCACCTAGAAGTTGTTTTACTTCATGCAAATTGGCTAAAAATTATGCTGAAAGAGTAAAATTATAAGCATAATTTAAAATTATAGGCCTAACAGAATCTTCCAAAGAAACAGTGTACAGTACACTGCATACAGGTCAATGAGCATCTTTGATGGATGCTGGCGCATTATACTGTAAATGTTCTATTATTATTATTATTCTTATTATTATTATTATTATTATTATTATTATTATTATTATTGAAAACTACTTGCACCACCCTAGTATATTACTTTAATACTCAAAATTTGTGAAAAGATATGATTTTAGAAGGTTGTCACAAGTTAAATTACAATGCCAATGCTGGACTACTGTATCCAAAGAACAGTAGCTAGTTTTGAGAAGTTTATACACATACCAGGTGGGAAAAACAGTCTTCAATGTCATGAGCTGTCCAAGAAATGCCAACCATGAGTTCCTGTGTACAATTCATAAATAGACTAATAGAAAACAATGAACACCAACCATTTATTGATGTACAGGTGGACAGATGATCAAGGGGGCTGGATAAAAAGGATGACTGCATGGCCAGAAATCAGAAGCATTGTGACCCCAGAGGCATTTAAAAAATGTTATAATAATTTTTAATGTATTATTTATTTGCTTTTTTAGCTCAATCCAGACTGCCACTGTTTGGATAGTAACACACGTGCTGGCTGGAGGCAATTTAAAGATAATTTTCA